CCCCTGCCAGTCCCAGTCCTGATCTGGGTCCCCCTGGTGCCGATCACGGTGTCCACTGTCCTCTTGCCTGCCTCGGACCTCTCCTGATCCCAGGTTTGTGCCCATTTTCCCTGGATCCCCCTTCCCTCCCTCCCTCCCTCTGCCAGCCAGGGCTCTGCTCCCCTGTGCGTCTCTTTGTCAGCCCGTCCAAAGCGCTGTAAATCCACACCGCTGTTAATTACCCGAGGTAATTAGCAATGACAAACCACCTCCCATCGGTCCCGTTGGCTCTGCCCTTTGGCTCGGATCGGCCCCGTGTCCCTGCGCTGGGACAGCAGCTCCCTGTGCCCTCCCTGTCCCTCAGCCGCAGGTCTGAGGGCCCCAGGAACGAGCCCCAAACCCGTTTCAGGTTGAAGAAGCCCCAGAAGAAGTACGGGCTGCTCTCGAGCCACGACGAGAACATCGAGCTGGGCTCCCTCGACAGCGACGAGGACACCGTGTTCGAGACGCGGAACCTGCGGCGGTGAGGGAGGGTTTGGTGTGTTTTGTGTGCTTTGTGTGCTTCTCTTCTCCTCACCAGGGGCTGAGGCGCCTTTCCTACAGCCGTGGGAGCTTTGGCACGGCTCCTACAAACAGATCTGCATGAATTAAGCGCCTGTGTGTGGTCTCTGTGTTGGCACACGGATTTATCTCGCTTTTCCCCGTTTTCTCACCCAGAAAGGTCTCACTGACAGGGACGGCCCTGGGTGATTTGGACACGGCTGTGGGGTCGCCAGGGCTGTTGGAGAGAGAGGCAGCCCTTGTGTCCAGTCTGAGCCTCCCTGTGTTAGACAGGAAAACAAAAATTCCTGTTTTTTTTCAGCTTAGGAGCTGCTTCCAAATCATATCCCAGTTCAAACTCCCAGTCCCATTGGGACATCCGTTCCTGCTTTCCTAGAACCATGCTTCCCATAGGTTCGATTTTGGGGGAGGGTCTTTTAAGCTGAGGAGGAATGTCAGCTCAAGGAGTGTCAGCTCAAGGAATGTCACCTCAGCAGCTGCCCAGCCCTCAGCTCTCCCCCTTCACACTGTCCATGCTCCCCCTGATTTTTGGCTGTCTTCTTTTTTCCCTGTTTTTGCAGATGACTCGGGACCAGCAGCACCACCTGCCTGGACTGACAGAGGGTCCAAGCCCAGTGGAATCTCCAGTGCTCAAGTTTCACATCTTGCTTACAGTGACTATTAATTAACAGTTCAAACCCTTCCATGGCTGGGGCAGGGGAAAGGGGACCAAGCCTGTTTTCTTCACATGCATTTTTGGGGACATTTCTGGGGAAAGGCAGAGCTGAGGTGTCTTGGGAGCTGCTCACTGCACGGGGAGATGCTGAGGTGCTGCTCCTGGATGATGCTCAGCACGTGAAATGGGAGCTCTGGGCCATGCCCAGGGTGTTGGTGTTTCAGGGTGCTCATATCTCTCTGTCTCAGCCCTAGGGGTCAGCTGGAAGCGTCAGATGAGGGGATTCCTTTTCCAGGCTGACCCTCTTTTCTTCATGCAATATCAGGTTACTTCTTTGGAAAGTGTCTCTGCAATGAGCTCCAGCCCAGGAGGAGCTGGGAGAGCTCTGGGGGTCTGCTACAAAACGGGGTGGGGGTGTGATAGCTCAGACAGAACAGCTTTGGGAACGAGTTAAATGGGCTCAATTTTGCAGGATTAGCAGTCACAGGGATAATCTGGGTCATTCTTGGGTTTACAGACATGTTTACAAATGAGAGGGGCCACAACCCAAAGGGGTGTTTCTCCAGAAGAGCCACATCCCTGTGGCCTGTGGGGCTGGGAGTGCCTGGACTGTTCTGCCCAGCCCATTGTATGCTCACCAGGGACACGTGTGTGCTCACCAGGGACACGTGTGTGGCACCCAGGGACACGTGTGTGACACCCAGGGACACGTGTGTGACACCAGGGACACGTGTGTGACATCTACCAGGGTCTGGACTTTGAGACACCTGGGGAAGAGCCAGGTGAGAGTTGGACCACCTGAACTGCAGGTGTGAGGAGTGTCCTGGAGCAGCTGATGCCTGGAAAAAGGGGACCCCGACCCCTGTGACTGTGATTCAGGACAGCCCTGAACTGTGAGTTATCTCCTCTCAAGGGTGCTGGAGTTTCACTCCATTGCTGGTACTCAGCTGGGATCTTTCCTGCAGCCCATTGTGTGGATATTTGGGATCTGATTGTGTAGGACCAAAGGTGAATGTGTCAGGAGGTCGTTGTTGGGTGGATCTGCTGCTAAAACAGTGAAAACTGCTTGCCAAGTGCTCGTGTCCAGGCCCTTCCTTGGAAACTTAAATCCCATTTGCACCCCAAGCTGGCAGTGCCTTTGTTTGGAGCAGCCAGGGGAGTTGCCCTGCGGGCAGGGAGGTCCCTGAGTCACCTCTAAGGTGAATATTGAGAATGTCTTTGGAATGTCTTTGGCTCCATTCCTTTGGTTTGCACATCCCCTGCGGATCAGGGGGCAGGGCTGACACTGCAGGAGGGGACAGAGGGAAGTGTTGGGGTCTGGCTGGTGCTCCAGGATCCCCTGAGGTGGAGGAGGGAGTGCTGGGATCCTGATGGGATCCTGGTGGGATCCTGGTGGGATCCTGTGCAAGGGGACATGTTTTTCCGTGCAGGGCAGGGGAGGTTTCCTGGAGAAATCCCCCCCCTCTGGCAGCTTCATCTCCCATGTGCACAAATGATTTTAAAATACACAGATACATGTTTTTAATCACTCTGCCATGTGCTCTCAGCACTGGATGGGCCCTGCTTTCCTGTCACTGGGATCCTGTTACACCTGATCCAGGTGCTCCCTGCTCGGGGAGCTGCTGCAGATGGAAGCAGGCAGAGGTTCCCTGTGGGAATCACTGGGATGGCTCAGTCTGGACACAGCTTCCCTGTGGATGATGGGGGCTGTGTGATCCATGGTCAGGGATCCCCTGATCCTGCAGGGCTGCACGTGCTGCTAACTTCCCTGGCTCTTCAGTTCCTCTGGAAAGTTATTCCTTGTGCTGATGAGCCCA